ACAACAATATTGTGACATTTGCTGCAAAAGAGAACATAGAAAGCCTCCTTTAAAACCTTGACAGCTGCCCTCACCGCTGATGGGTTTTTGCATTGCCACCATGATGAACACGGATCATATATAAAGCCTATTCATTCCCCACTTTATGTTGAGCTTTGTGAGCCAGTATCCTTGAATAAAAAGCTGTTATTGTATTTGTCGGTCAACCCTCCAGGCAAAGACTTGTGCTGAAAAACACAGCGTAACCATCAGCAGAGCTTCACATGCTAGCTGTGACTAGAAAATGGTGAATGTGCCCTTTTCATCTTTTTCCTGTCTAACCTTTGTCAGAGGAAAAAGTATTCAGCTTGGCAATAAAAAAAACAAACAAAAAAATGGGTGGGTGGGATGTTGATGTGTGTATATGTTTGTGAATGCTAACATATTGTCTGTGTATTTGAATATTTATCTTTCCCTCTTTCAATCTTTTATTCTTCAGTGTGATGCAGTCAGCGTACTAGAGAAGGAGCATGACTACAGAGAGGAGCACTTCGATTTCATCCAGTCCCACATCAGGCGATTTTCCTTACAGTGTATCCTTATAATGCACATTTTTTGTAATTGTAGAGTTCTTGAGCCATACATCAGGTTTTTATGTGGCCCATGATGTTTTATTTGTTAATTAATTTATTCATAAGCTATCATGTATGTCATTACCCAAACGTTTCCTACCTTAAATGAATTCAACAGATGGAGCTGGCCTGATCTATACATCAGTCAAAGAGGAGAAGAACCTGGATCTGCTTTACAAATATATAGTACATAAGATGTATGACTTCCAGTTCACCACACCTGCCTTAGTGGTGGAGAAGGATGCAGTGTTCATGTAAGCGAAGCTAGCGATGCACTAGTTTATCATCAGGGTTTCATGGCACATACCACAAATCAAATTCCTACTTTTAATCTGAGGAAATGCTGTACGTACTTATCTAACAGACTTTAAATGAATGAACTCACTGTAATTGAACTGTCTGTCTTCTAGTCCATCTGGGTGGGATAATGAGAAGAAAATTGGGATTTTGCACGAAAACATCACAACCGTCAGACCCGAAGATCCATTTGAAGATTTTATCACAAAGCCTCCAGTACGAAAGGTATGACAATGCAAATACTGACAAAACATAAACTTACAGGTTGATATTAGACTCCAGAGTGCCAATTAAATAACCACATGCCTTCTCCTTTGCACTTGTTCACAGCTGGTTCATGACAAAGAGATAAATGCAGAGGATGAGCAGGTATTCCTGATGAAGCAACAGGTATGTGTCTCTCTTTCTTGCGGCCACTAAGATGGATAGTATGTCTGAAAATTCCCCATGTTTATCGATAAATGTCATCCCCTGATCAAAGTGAATAAAAGGAGTGTTATTTTTAGCATGAGAGATTAAAGTTGTAAGGAGTATATTTTTCATCCCTGTTATCTAAACAACAGATTTGGCTAACCAGCTACAACCAATCCTCTGTTTTTATAGATTTTAGTAATGATCCTGAACTGACATTTTCACTAAACATATGAATATAGTATACTCGTGCTGTTGAACATCTGAAACTTCCACATGACAAATGACGTTGCCTTCACTTCCCATTTTGTGGACCTATAAACGAGGAAGGCAGTCTAAAAAAAAACTTAACTGTGGATTCAGTTTTGCAGGTTAGAGAAGTGCTTAGTGCTTGTTGAGGTTTCTTTTCACCAAATCCCCCCTGCTTTAATGTGTACCAGCTGGCATTCTATTTATGGACATATAAATAAATGTTTGTACAGGAGTTGATGGAAACTGTCTATTCTTACTGTGCAGGTTTTCAGAATGGGATAAATGGTATAAATGTGCATGTTTGAAATCAGTTTTCCAGAAAACCCCAAATTAGTCAACGACTTCTGTTAGCAGTTTCCATTTTGGCCCAGTGGTTTCCTTTAAAGTGTGCTCTAACTTACGTATGGTTGGAATTGTAAACCATGTCCAAATTCAGCCATTGACTTTGTCACTTTTTTTTCCTTTCTAGTCTTTGTTAGCGAAGCAGCCAGCCACGCCAACAAGAGGAGCAACAGTAAGTGTTTTAACATCCCTCAAATGTGGAATCTTAGTTGTTATTTTTTCTTTGCGTTGTATTGTTTTTCTTCTCTATAGACAAACTATTATATCTAAAGCTTTTGTTTGTGATCAGCCTTGCTCTGGTTTCTGTGTTGCAGGAGTCTCCAGGACGAACAGCCTCAGGGTCTCCTAGGCCCGCAGGTCGCGCCGGCCAAGCCACTGTGACTAGCAGCTCACCAATGTCTGCTGTCAAAAAGCCTGACCCTAACATGAAAGGTAAGAGCGCCATGAGTGCTCATTTATTTTCATACCTGATGACTGAGAATCATACTTTGCACTCCAGTGCTCCCTAGTTTATTAGTTTGTCCCAAAGGCTTGCATAGTCTTTTCTCTTTAATTCAAAATTCTCTTTATGTTTGTATCCCTGCAAAAAAAAGTCTTTGATCAGTCTTTTCCATTCATCTTTGATCATTTGGCTGTAATGAGAACAGCTTTTTCCTTTAGTTTTGCAATATTGCCCCCAAGAGGTAACAACTAAAATAATCCACATAGATTCCTGCACCACCTCTGCAGCTGGTCACCCTTAAGTAGAAATATTTACTTTCTCTCCATCATTAAGCACAGTAGGGTGCTAGTGCATTCCAATTTAAAAAAAGAGAGAAAGATTATTACTTTTAACTAGCTTTAATAGAGGTCTGTTAGCCCTCACCTATTGTGGTTTTGGAATTTGAATCAGTGTTGTGTCAGTGGAGTTAAAATCGCATCGATTCTTGTAGACACTTGTTTCTTTTTTACTCTCTGTGAAAGCAAATCTCACAAAGGAATATTCTCTATTTTTGTAGTAATTTCATCAACAAATTTTGTACTGATAAAGGACACTTTGTGTTTCCTTATCCAAATCAAGGATTCTAAGATAGAGCCCCTTGATACGGCTTAAAGTTAAAGTTGTCCTGAACTAAACAAGATGAAGAAATGGACCTCATTTAGCAAGAAAAAAGTCACTATTATACAAGACAGTCACAATATATTTATTTGAATGTAATGTATTTAAAAAGAAGCAACTGAAGCTATCCCAGACTAATAATTTGGAATCACAACATGATGTTGGACATTAAAGCAAGATAATTTGTTAATAACCCGCCCGTGTTCTCAGTAGTCTTAGTGTTGAGAAGGTAACTAGCAACTCAAAGGTCCAGTGTGTAACATTAAGGAGGATCTATTGGCAGAAAGGGAATATAATATTCATAGGTATGTTTTCATTAGTAAATAATCTTTTATTTATTACCTTTTAGAATGAGCAGTTTTTATCTACATAGGAAGCGAGGTCGCCATGTTTCTACCATAGCTCAGAATGGACAAACCAAACACAGGCTCTAGATAGGGCCTTTCATGATTTTCTCGAAATTTGCAGCCACTACAGTTTCTCCTACATGCTCGGAAAGGGAGAGTGAAACAAGGGGGTTGCAATCCGCAACTTCACTGCTAGATGTCACTAGATCTTACACACTGGTCCTTTTAAGTGTGGTGGATGATAAGAATATGTACAACTTATTAAACTTAAACTTGTGTTCTTAATCCTGTTATCGTCAATAGTACAGAAGTGATTTTAAGTTCCATGTTTCTCCTGCAGCTGGGGCTGCCAATGAGGGAGTGCTGGCTAACTTCTTCAACAGCCTGTTGAGTAAAAAGACTGGAGCTCCAGGTAGCCCAGGAAGTGGAGCTGTTGGAGCTGGAGTACAAGGGTCGGCCAAGAAAACAGGTACAACCTCTTATTCCCATGCTCTCCCCTCTGATCTTTCTTTTTATGCACCTTCTTCTTTACAGGTTAGCAGTTGTCCTTTTAACAAAACAATTATGAAGCAATATTGTTGATTTATAGCACCCTGTGCATTAAGATCCATCTCAGAGAATGGACTGCATGCACACTTAAGTCAAGACAAGAGGCGTTAAAAACAGGGCCTTTTGTTGATGGAGGCTGTGGACCATTTTGCTGTCTGGAGTTTTATCTCTACAGCCTGAGAGAGACAGAGAGAGAAGGTTAAAACAGGAGAAAAAGAAAAGTTGTCCTCTTTGACTGAACTTCTGACACCTGAAGAAACTTGTGACAGGCCTGTATGCACCAAACCTCCAACCATAAGTGCCACCATGAAACTAATGTCTCTCACACCTCACCATATCCCACTGCTCTCTTGCTCAACTAATTTATTTACCTGTTATTTTACATGAGTAACCAGCAGCTGTTATTGCATGTCTGCATTCTTATTTTCAGCTTCAGCACATTTTTCTAACTTTGTCATAAAATATAACAAAGTTAAATACTGTTTGTGAAATGGCTGAATGAGTCCAGTGAAACATTGCATAACTTATGTCTCTGAGACCACTGATATGTACCTTTTGTTCCAGCGCTGAGCAGTGTTAGGCCCAGCTGAAAGGATAATGCATGAACATTACATGTTCCCTTTTGTCTGATGATTAGATTTGCATGTGTGTTAGCTGTGGCAGCGAGCCGCCAACCTCCAGCATGGGACCGCATCATCATCCAACCCCCATCCATCTGCTTGCTGGCCATAGAAAATTGTTATTTATGAATACACGCAGACGCTACAGGAGATTACTTTTGGACTTTGTCTCCTGTTTTTCCAAGGGCAGAAGCCGGGTTTGACTGATGTCCAGGCAGAGTTGGACAGGATGACTCGCAAACAAGACTCCATGGTTTCAGCTAACAACATACCACCGCCGACAGAGAACGAAGCGTGAAGGCAACAAAAACAGCTACATCGTCCACTGCAAATACTCTGGAAAAAAATACATGTACATGTGAGCATAAAAAAATTGACCAAATTCCCAATGTCTATATCAGTCAGCACACAGTGGTTTCACCAAAATGAGTTTCAGATGCTATCCGATATTTTGGTGTTCTGGTGAGATGGGAAGAAATGATAAGTGCTGAAGGCTTGTCTTTATTTCTGTCCTCTCTTCCGCTGTAAATGTTATTTTGTGAGGGGTGTTCGTTTTATGGAAATGCGTGCACACTCCCTGGCAGCCAGCCAGATGTGCTGGGTTGCAGGTCCCCCAGTTTCTGGGGCATAACACCATCCTCGTGGGTTTAATGAGTGGAAATATTACTGGTCCTGTGGCCTCTGGTTCAGCTTATCTCATGGAAGGAATTTGGTTGCGATTGGAAGGGTATTTAAACTTTAAATATATTCATTGAAAAAAGTGATTCAAATACTTGCAAACATGTAGTATGTAAAAAATGTTAGATATGATACTGATGTATTTATACAAAGTTCCTCCTTTTTATTTTATTTTGTGCACCATTTATCGGTTTAAGGAAACATTCATCTGTATCACCTAACATGTTAAAATGCCACTGACGTCATGACACTAATATGACATGTCCAGATAGCTGATCGCATATCATATCATTTCCCCTAATCATCTCGAAGGATCCTGTAAATATAAATACAAACAAATCTATTCAGGTTGACTCTGATTTTGTATAAAATGCAATTCTGTCCAAATTCTGAAAATAGCTACTTTGACTAATTGAGACTGGTTGGGATTTGACAGGTTTAGAGGTTGCAACAGAATCGCTTCTTTAGCTACAGGTGTGTATATTTGGGGAGGGGGTTGGGCAGCATCTTTCCTACTATAACTCCTAAGTGCCTCGCACAGTTAGCTGTTTGTGTCATAGTAGAGGTGCTTGTCTACATAAGAGGAAATGCACTGTAGCACAATCGGTTAAAAGGTTTTTGTCCATTTCTTGTCATCCAAATAATTTATTTTGTTTTACATTTTTGTTAATGTACAACAAGCCTGTGGTCTGTTATTTTTCAGAAACAAGATTTCTGTGGCTTAGTTGATAGTGTTCAATAGAGCAATAGATTGAATGCCTTCATACAAACTTTAAAGGCTGCTGATATTAAGAAGAAACCACATGACGGAACATTTGGGTGCCCCAAACGAACACCTACTGTGGTTGAAACCACTCGCTTTGCAGCCAAAAGACACACAATGATTTGTTGTGGTGTGAATTAAATTAGATATTGTATACTTCAGTGTTTTACAGCACTGTCCTCCTTTGGTTTCACACATTTTATTCTCACTGTACTTCACATGTCAGTTAAAACATTCCCAGTTTCTACATGAAGTAGCTGTAGAAACCCATCTCTGTAGGAAACCTGTTTGTCCAGTTAGGTCTTTTTGTTCGCTCACTTTCAGTGCCCATTTAAAATTACAACCTTTGCCTTCAATGTACAGCTAACAGTTTGTCACACTGGGCCCCCTGCCTTCACAGGAATGCTCCTAATTAATTTGTGTGTCTTTAAGGGGTTGCTTAATTGTCTTATGTAATTTCTCTTCTTTAAAAACATAAAAATAAAAACCATTATACTGTCCCATATCAAATAATCTGTAATAGTATTTATGGTTTCATGAAACCATAATCTAATCAGAATTAAATAAGTGTACATTATCATTCTTAAATCTGTATGCAAGGCCCTACTTAATCCTATGGATAGTGTGTAATCAGTAGCTTTCACAGAATTAATGGCAAGTGTCAAGAGAGCAGCTATTTGCTATTAAAATAATGGCAAAAAAGGAAAACTGGAGTGAATTGGAACGTGGAACCAAAGATGCATATTAGTCACTATTTTCTGCTTTTATGTCTGTTATCATCCATAAGATTAACCAGTGGCCATTGTTTGTCCTACTCTTGCATGGAGCCCTTGCATTCCAAACTTCAGATCTACCTATGAACTCTTGTTTTGAGTAACACCTTATAAAAATGGTAGAAATGCCTTACTCCACTCAACCATATCTGGGGTTTTCCAGAGTCAAAGGAGAAACAAAATCCACAATACAATCAAGGTTCAACTTTTTTTTCTTTTGTTTTGCTCTGTAAGGGAATAACCACAAGACCATATTGGTGTACAGTCTACTTTATGCATGATTTGTTGTCAAAATGATGCTACACGTGTTCTGGATTTACTTTTGATCAAAATGACACTCTTATTATTTTCGTTTTTTCCTATTTTCTTGTGACTGGGTGGAATGTGCACCTGAGGGTCTGTTGCCGAAGTGGATGAAGCACAATTTAAGAACAGCCAGGATCAGTCCACATGTTGAAATAAGCACTTTTCCTTGGACACTTGTATCAATTCACTGTTGGTACAGTTAAAGATAGAGAATGCATATTTTTCTCTTTGCCTTGCCTTTTTTTTTTTAGAACATTTAGTAAATAACCTAGAAGTTAACCTACACAGTAAAACTTTTTATTTATCTGCATTTGCTGCTTAAGTTATGGAAAGTGCCCCTGGTGGTTTACTATGGAATAACCCCTTTCTGCTGGTGATATTGTTCATTTAATATCAATCCTCTAGAAACCATTGTCCGTACACCTTCGCTAGGGATGTTTTGGGGACATCTTGAAGTAGATAAACCAAATAAATGTCCATTCATTTTCAGGTTTTTTCCCTTTTTCCCCCATGAAACATCCCCTTGTATGTGTTTACATCCTACTTAGACATGTTTTGTTTTTGTTGTTAGATATGGTTTTGCCCATAGACACTTTTGTTTAAAGAATTTCAAAATGTCACCCTCGCCTGATTGATCACACTTATATTTCCTCTTAAACATGGCCATACTTGTTCAAATTTGGCATTTTAGCTGAGTGGAATGAAGTGCTCTCATGCTGCTTGGTTTGTAAAGATTGGATGTTGCTCTCAAGATTGAGTATTGAACGTATGTTGTAACTTTTTTTACTCAAACGCCAGTTGAAAGCAACTGGCTCTTCTCATCCTAACTGAATTGCCTTCGACCACTATCGACAGTCTACATCTGTATGAGACTTTGAGCTTCTGCTTCCAGTCCTTTTGTATTCAGGATATCAAGACATTGTAAGCACATGGCCGGCTGCATTTTTGTGTCCTGAATTAATTCAGAAGTTTGATTGTATGACTTTAACACAATTCTGTAGCCTCTAAGCTGCCATGTGGATTCTAGCTTCTTACGCCGACAAAGTTAAGGAAAATGTTTATCAGACCCCTGGCTTCAATAAAATCAAGAATCCAAACTTTTGTTGACTTGTACTTTTTTGTGCCTATGCAATGTTTATGGATTGATTCCAGTAAGTTTATTTGCACATGTCAGGAAAACACTTATCCACTGGCATCATAACCAGAGCACTGCGGTGTTTGATTAAAGGAAAATAGCTGTTTGGATGCAACATCTAGGTATCAGATAGATATTTCCAGCATCTCTAGCCATCTGCGATCACCTAGGCAACCTTTACGTCCCACTAAACACCACAGGAGGGCAGTAGGGTACAGTGAAGCACACTTTAGTTCATTGGGAGAAAATTGGGCCTATCCCTTAATTCTCAAAGTTTAGTTATCAAGATTGCAATGTCATCTGATAAAATCAACCCGTTTGGAGAAAATGGCTTTAAACCATCAACATGACAATACAATGTTCCATACACTATTACATACCATCTAAGCTGCACAGTTCAAACACTTGGTTGCCCTTTACCTAGAAAAGAAACAATAGGAAAGCAGTAATATTTATTTATGTATTTATTTTGAATTATATTTTGATATTTAGGCCTAAGTTTTGTTGCTGAGTTAACAGGCATTTACATATAATACAGCAAAAACTATTAAGGTCAGTACAGTGATAGGCTACCCCGGGATAAGTACAGCATACACTCCATAAACAGAACTGCATCCACACTGTAACCCTCTGGAGAATAAAGAAATAAGTTCATTAGGCCTCGTTGGAGGAACTAACTTGCAGGCAGCAGAAACGTATATGAAAAGGAGCCAGACAGAAAAATGCAGCAAGAGCTCGATCCTGTCAGCGTGGTTCCGGCTGGATTCGTTTTGCAGGCTGTTTGGGAATCTACTTAAAACGGGCGCAGATCCTGCACAAGAATGTGCCGGGGTTTTTTTTAGAGGGGCGGAGACAAGCTTGCCTTTGCATCCATAGCGAATAAAGCGGCGTAAAAAGGGCACAGCCTCGCTGTGAGCCGCTGTGGGGAATTAGTTTACAATAGGAAACAACAAGCTCCTCTCTGGGTTCTTCTGGGACATAATGGGTGGATGTTTTTCGGTCGCAGAGGCGAGTCACACAGCACGGTAGGCATTTTTCTCCCCCCCACCACCACCGGTGCTGCTGCTGCTGCTGAACTAACCAGAATCGTCTATGGTGGAGTGACACTGGGATCCGAACAAGAAACATAGTTCTAAGTGCGGCTGTTATAGAGAGACGCAACATTGTAACCGGGGAGGAAACGCCGCAGGGTTACATTAAGCGGATACCAGCTGGATTTTCCTGCGCGTAATGTTACAGAGCATCCCCCGCCGCTGTTAAGCCCCGTGGGCTAGCTATGAAAAGTGGACTGTCTGGTTTGTTTTCTCCATCCACTCCCAGTTTGCATGGAACAAAGTGTGCTTTATGAAACACAACCCGCACCGTGAGTGGGATCCAGTGCGGTTCGTCGCCGTGGGTTTATGTGTCGTAACGTTTCTGGTCCAAGGGTCCAGCGTCTCTCCACTCCCGAAATCATCATGAGGACCACCGAGGAGCCAGAGGGCTTTGACGGCGAGGCCTCCAACACTTCCATGATCTCCGGGGCCAGCAGTCCCTATCAGCCCACCACCGAGCCCGTCCACGCGAGGAACGTTTTGGGGGGGATAAGGTGCGACGTGGAGTACCTCAAGTCGTACTTTGGGATTTTAAAGGTGGTTGAAGTGGTAAGTTTACGCAGTTATTGCAGTGCTCGTAAAAGTGAGCCAAACTAACTATGACGCACCATTGGCCGATCACATCCACTAACATATGGACAAAATAACTATTTCCAGGGAGTGTATTATTCTTTTTAAAAACTAAAACTACTGCGAGCATTAATACCTACATTATTTTTTACTTCTATCCCGAAAATGCTAGGCCAAGGTGAAAAGGTTAATTCAAATAGATGTGGGCCATACAGGTCCTGCTTTACCCGGCACCACATCCCTAATAGTGGTCAGTCAGGTTTTCCTGCTGCCCCCATGACATGTGAAAGTAAAAGGGGTGAGGTTGCTGTGGATCACAGTTCTCAATTCAGCCATGCTTTGCACACCTCGCCAAACATGTGGTTGTGTATTTTTTTTCAGTACATATTTATTTTGAAGGATACACAATGGTACAGTATTCCAATGGTACATTTTGGTGATATCCCCAGAAGTGCCTTAATAGTGATATTTTAGTGTTTTGTAGTATTTTCTGTCTCTTATGATAAACTATTATTTCTTAAGGGACTTGATAGCTAGGTCCTGTATTGCTCTTAGATAATAAAAAACAATATTTTTAGCAATGTTTCTTTGTCAGATGCAGTGCTCCCTGAAACACATATTTTCACTCACATCTGTACACCTAAACCAGATGTCTGAACTGAGACAGAGGCAACAACAAAGTAAAGTGAGGGCTCCCAGTGCTCTGACAATTCACCAGAGGAGGAAATATCTATCAAGCCGGAGCAATTTCTCTTCTTCTGGTGCCAAAAATTCAGACAGGCCCCTGCACCCTCGTACACATGAAGTAGTGTGTCCACAACAGGATGAACCGTGGCACTGAGGAAACTAGCAATTACCTCTAACAGTGTTTGTGGATAACACAAGCAAACTGTTGAAGATAAAACTGCACAGTTCTGGCTTTTCTGCTGCTTCACTTTTAAAACTTTTTTTAAACTCTAGAAAAAGTAGTGTTTGAAAGGGACTTTCCTGTTTTTGTGGGTGGCTGAGTGTCCCACTGGTCTTACAGAAGAGCACAGTGAGCCTGTGCTGTTGCACACACCTGTGATGTTTACCTCTGTGTACGTGGGAAGTTAGGATAGGATGCCATCTGTCTTCAGCGTGGGAGACGTTTGGAGCTGGCAGTAACTAAGAAGACGATTCATATTCAGTCTTTATCTGTTTCACAGCAAACAATTGAATATTGTCTTTGACTTGGCTGCTCAATGGCAGCACAAAATTATTTTATGTCTGCATTCCTGTTCCTCACAGATAAAGAAACGGAATATAATAAAAAAAATGATACTCTTATTACTTGTGTGTGCAGTCATGGTGGTGCCTAGCTTCATGGTTAGTGGAATAGTAGAGATTCCTCTCCTGCAACACAGCAGTGATATGGGCCCACAGTTAGGGCTGACCTTCATTCAAATATTTGATAATTGTGCCGATACGATGCCTGAATTTCAGAACTTACACAATACTTTTTTTGATACCTTTTCATTAAGAAATACAATTTAACAAACAAACCCTTTTTCATTTAACAAACTTCTCCAATGTTAAGTTTTATCTAAACACAGACAGACAGAAAAGTGCATTTCAGTCACCACCAGAAAGTATTAAGGTTCAATAACAAGCTCCACAAGTGAGCCTTGGTTTCAGCTATTTTTCAGGAACATGCAAAAAAAACAGTGTAGTGTTAAGTGTATAAGCATTATCTTACCTACTATTACTAATCTTCTATTTACACTTTATATTTACTTGAATGGTTTATTGAGCATTGATACTGGCTTTCCAGTTTGAGCTAGTCATATCTCATTCACTGACAAGGACAGAAACATTGAAAGTCATCCAAGTTTACATTCAGTATCTTAGTGGAGGCTTGCTGCCAAACGTTAATAGCTTCACTGGCTTTCATTTTAACTGCTCTGTCCTTTAATCATTTAACTCTGTGCCGGCTGAGGCCGTGTGACGATCTTTTCAAACTGATAGATGATAATGCAAAGCTGACTGCGTGTGATGTACTGTACACGTACCTAATGTTGCACAGTTTCTGCTTATTCTGGAGAAACTCCTATGCCAAGGAGCCGTTGTTGCCTGTTATTTATATCACTGTGTAAACGGAAAGTTGTTCTGTGGCTGTAGCCATGTGTTGTTAATATATCATCTATGTGCAGAAATCAGTTTTGTGAAGTAATGATTAGCATCAATGCAAAATAGACTGGTACAGTGCAACACATGCTGCATTATACCACATACTTTCTTTAAAGATCCAAACACCTATTGGTGCACATGGAGAAATAAGGAGTTCTGCTGTGTGAAATACTAGCTGAATGTAAAGCTTTTGTGAATATGTCGGTTTGCCAATCATCACTCAGATGTTAATGGATCCTAAATGCCTCACCCACCCACTCTGGTATTGTCCAGGCTTCCTTATGACTTTGTCTAGGAAATGTTTATAATATTACCTCCACGCCCAGGCCTTGTTTGCTCTAAGGTAGTAGTTACAAACCACTCTGACCTTTGCACTGACCCATCTTTATATATATTCTCAGTTTCCTATGTTCATAGACCAGGGTGCTAAGCGCTAATAGACGTGTGTAGTTGTTTTACACTGGAGCACTAAAATGCATTCGCACAGGCTTTTAGAGGCCCAGTCAGCTTGTCATTCCTGGGATGAATGGATGGATACGCAGGCTGCTGCTGACCCTGTGCTGCTCTGAAACAACCCCCAGTAGGATGTAACCTGACCAAGGTGTGTCCACCCTGACAGACGGTTTGTCTTTGTCTCTGTGCTGTGACTGGGTCAACAAAGCTGATATTCAACTCACGTCCCTCTACACTGACAGGAATTTGATATCCCGTAGGGCCTGACAGTACACCAATCAAACTATCTTTGTCTCCCAAAAAGCCTTATGCCTTCACGATGAATAACAGTTCACTCATTTAGGTGTGTGAACCCATATTTCCCTTTTTTTGTACCATTCTAACAAGCAGTAATTAAATATTATGCTACAGTGTTTTTTTCCGTCTGTGTTGTGTAATGAAGTTACCAGATGCTCCCAAATGTCAGCGAGCACTTCCTGCTCTGAAAGAGATGCCATATGCTCCACTCTCTTCTCGTTGAAACATTACTTATACAGAGCTTGTAGGGAGACATAAAGACAACAAGAACGTTGTGCATGCGTGTGGTGAGACGTGCATGCCTTTGCCTACACATACTTACCTTATCCTCTGGGGTGAAATATAACCTGCATTCAGGCTACATTTTCCATCACATAGATGACTGTGGGCTGCTGCTGAAGCATATTCAACTTTTTAGAAGATTTTTTTGGTGGCACGGTCACATAGCACTAGGATTGCAGCATATAATGTTGCAGGGTCTGCAGTGAGGCCTCTTTTTTCTCCTCCATTAGTTTTCTGTTCGCAACAGATGGTGTATAAGAAGGGGATTCGAAGACGCTTCTAAAAGCCACTAATAACGTGCATAATCGCAAAGATAAAGATGTGCATGCATGCAGAAGAGAGAAGAAAGAGAGACTTGATGTGCATGATCATGCACATATGCACGCACAGGTTGCATAGGGGTGAAGGTTGACATAAAATCATTACTTACAAGATTATCCAGTATGGTGCTTTGTGATCCCCCGCCTCCTCCCCCGTGGCTGCCTGACACCTGCTACACAGGGACTCGCAAAGCAATATGCTTTTTCTTTGAGAGACATGACATCATCACTCAGCCGAAGCAGCCCTCCAGTTCTGTTTGGGTGTAACCTTTCTGGTTGTGTTACAGTCACAGACTGACTGCTATCCAACTACATGTTCTAATGAAACTTCAGCAGCGGCACAGAATGCAGCTTTTGTCTTAATGATGGCCAGCCTGGTGGGTTTGCTTTCTCTTGTCTTTGCTTTTGTTTGTTTCTTGTAATGTGACCACTGGATAAGAAAATGTATTTGTGGGCCTTGAATGTGTCCTGTGAGGTGTTGTCTCAGCCAAAGAGTTAAAAGATTAGAGTCTGTCACAAACAGGAGAGTTATCCACTGACAGTTCACCAGTGCCAGTCATCATGCAACAACACTTTAGTTGTCAGAAACAGTCCCCCCTGCTCATTAAATTGGATAAATAGGGTTGGCTATTGAGCTGCTGAGTGGTTGGGGGGAGGAGGAGGGGTCTGTTGCTAATGAGACTGTTTGGTGCATTTGTTTGGAAATGTCAAGCAATGAGATGCAAGTAGCTGTGGTGGTTTCAAGTTGGACTTTAAAATCTACATTGGGTTTTTTACAAACAATACTTTATAAAGTCTTTATATATTTTTTACCTGGACACCTTTGAGGTTGAAAGTTTTAGATACATTCTTATTATTTAGAGACTTTCTGCAAAAGAAAGAGAGTGACAAATGTCTTATCCCCAGAAAAAAGCTTTTGCTGTACAATTGGTGAATTCCAACTAACAAAAAAAGGTAAAAATAAGTCTGAAATTGGCACAACAACAGAGTTCCCATTCCATCTAGTTCTATTTTCACTGTTAAAAGATTAGACTAGACACATATAGGTCAGTGATCTGTGTGTCTGTGTATTTATGCTTGTTTTACCACACCCATCTATTCTCATAGTCTTTGCTGTAGAGTCAAAACATTTGTCAGGATTTAAAGATTATTTTGAAATGGACCTTATGGTGGAGCCATCATTTGGGTATGGATTAAAACCGTGTTATGTCACGTACTAATGTGACATGTGTGGGAACTTATGGTATGTTTTCTATTGTATTCTTTGGTTTTAAACTGTTGGTGAATAGCATAGTTTTAATCCGTGGCATTGATGCTTTTTAAATTGTCAGTTTTCCCATCCCCCTCTATGTTTTCCGACCCTTTTGCTTATATAATTTTCAGTTGCTCTTGCCTGCAACTGCCTGTTCCCATGTCAATTACCCTGACACTTACAGAAGTCACTTGATCATCTATTTAATGTCCTTCCTTCTCTCTCTGGCCTCCAAAAATCTTTAGATAATTTGACCACATCTCTAAATTCATGCCTGCGCAGTTCCTGGACTTTGTTGCCCTGATGTCACAGAGGAAGTGGATTGAGCGGAGGAAGAAGTTGGCGCCCTGGTGTAACGATGATTTGTGATGATCAGCCAAGCTTAATGTTGCCTGCTTTGCCTGGAATAATAGCTCTGCATTATATAAACCTACTTTCTCACTGCAGCCAGGGGATCTTTTTTATCCAATGTGAAAATAAAAGAACCCCATTCCTCTCTGAGACTACAGTAAAACTTACCAAGCTAACCCTGTGCAATCCACATGCTTCTCTGTTAACGACTTCATAAGCTTTGTTAAAAAAAATCAATATCATCAGGGACCAGCTCATTACCTCGTAAACATGTATCTAGTCATAAAAGCAACCTGGAGTCTTGCTGTTGGAGAAGCTGCTAATGAAGCAGCACTTCAGTCATCTGTTCATGGAAGAAATTACTGACTCTCTTTTAGTGTTGCAGTCTTAGTGTTGTAACTCAGTCGGTCTGTGACTACATGCCATTTGTTGTTTTTATGTCTGTTGTGGCAATTGACTTTGCATGAAATTACACTAACAGAGATTTCATGCACTTCTAGGTTTTCTTTTATCTATAATTTATTTTTTGTCTATCATTTAACTGATGCAGTATGCAACTAAGGCATGCCTTAGTTGACAATGACACTGCTGTTCCAGGCACAAGTACATACTATGTCAGATACAGAGAGAAAAAAGCGTAGTAAATATGACTGTAAGTGGTTATGTCATTTGGAAAAGCTCAAAACTTTGCAATGGACTTTTTTTTATACAGTTTAACCCCCATTCATCTCTCAACTCAAAACCCATCATTATTCAATTTATTATATCAATATAAAATACAAAATGTCAAACCTGTCCCTCTCTGGTAGACCAAGCAGATCTGGTCTAAACTGGTTTGAATTCGGCTACTTCGGGTCTTAATATGTCGCTGTGGCAGTCTCTTGGTTCTGTTATGCCTCTGGGTCTTGGACCGCTCCGAGCCAATCGGTAATCTGCGTGTGGTTTTGTCGGGTCTAGATGGTAGGAGAACACCTAAATAGCAGAATTCTTCCCATACTGTGGTTTGTTGATGGATGTTGGCTGGGTGGAGGCCTCTTCACAGGCTGCCAGGAGCGGGACTCATGAGATGGGCTCATGGCCCCTGGTCTATTCATAGGACAATCACTTCATCATCTGGAAAGCTTGGCATTTCAGCACTAACAAACACTCACATCAAGTTACAGAAATGGCTTGACCTACAGTACCCTTTATGCTTACGAGCAGTATCAGCAGTAAGCATTTATTTTGAAATGATGTAAAACGGATGGATTGAATGATAAAATACACAGTATACTCAACATTTCCTTCTATTCTTCTCCTCTCTCGCTCTCTCTCTCTGGGACTCTCTGTTTAGGTCCTATCCCTTATTGGATTCATCTGCATAGAGACTATCATGATGTGTTCTCCCTGTGGAGGGGTCTACTTCTTTGAGTTTGTCAGCTGCAGTGCCTTCGTGGTGACGGGAGTCCTCCTCCTGATCTTCAGCCTGAACCTGCATACCAAGGTGCCCCACGTCAACTGGAGCCTCACGGTAGGTACAGGAAGACATAATGTGTCAAAGAGCCACAGTCATGATATTGAGTTTAGAACAAAAGGTTCCTGAAAAAAGCCTGGGATGTGACAAAAGTTTGACACAAAATGGCAGCCTGTAGTGACGTTTACTGTTTACCACAGTGTTATTTAAAAAAAAAAAACACAACCACTGAGAAAATTTTCTAATCTGACACGAGACTAGTTGATTGTAAGTTTGAACACTGGAGATTTCAAGGCCAGGATGAGAGTGGGGATCATTAGACTAGGCTATCTGTGTTTGTATTTTGCACATTTGAGCAGTATAGCTGTAACACTTCCATCATTCTCAGCAGCACTGTGTGTATCGTGCTTTAAGCAAGAGTTAGCACACTATCAAAAGTTTAAGTTTAAGATTTACCAGACAAAATATGTGGTCACTCTGTTTATGCTTGGCTGTTTTGCTTTTATTTTTTTCCCTTAGTCATTATCACAATCATCAAAGATTATTTTTTTCCCAAGAACTCTGCCTAAAGTATATAGTCTTTTATTTATTATCAGGATAAGGCTCAAAGCTTATAAGTGAAACTGTGAAACATTAGTGAGAATGTAACTGTTTGAGAGGGCATACAGTTTCAGTGTTAACACCAGGATCTGCATTGTCAGCTGTAAGCAAATGAGCTGGTGGGTGTTCTCCAGCAGATACTGGTTTCCTTTCAGTATTTGCCTACATACACACGTCGGTGTGTTCTGAGCTGCAGCCAAGTATCCTTTACAGAGGAGAGTGGAAAAAAGGCCGTCAGAAACTATATTTCCAGGGGCCACACAGCGTACATATCGTAGTAAAGTAGTGGATGTTAAGCCAGATTCCAAATCCAACCATAGCTATCAGATTGCTTTATGGTATCCCTGGTACTATATTCCACCTCAAACATGAAAAGAGGGTGTGCCTTTGGCTTCTACTTTTGGCAGAATGACTCAAATGAAAGCTTTTTACAGTCTCTGAGAGGCAGTTCATATAATCTAAAATCCTCCTGTTCGATCTCTTTCTGTCTCATGTCGGTTCTGAATAGTTAATTATTTTTCCACTCAGGTGATTAATAGTCTAGAAATATGTAATTTACATGTATTTTGTGTGTGTGTTTGTGTGCACAGGCGTGTGTCAAAGCAAGTTTGGTTGTGAGCTGCTATTCTCACTCACAGTGGAGGTTGTTCTTCAAAGAAGTTAGACTGTGGTGGGCTGCGGTTTGGCTCATTGTTATTGCTGGAAACATGCTGTGAGGCACAAAGATATTGAGCCTTTCATATTTTGTAAAAAAAAAAAAAGAATATGTATTTGGAGCACAACAAATTCTGTGTTTATGACATGAAAAACCTTCCACATTTCACTTTTGGTGAGTAAACTGTAGCAAAGATAGACTTACAGTAGGTGTTGCTTTCCAGATTTCACAGCCTCTTCCCCAACTCCAAACTGTTGTATCTAACAAACACATGATGCTCAGTTCCAGTCCACAGTTGTAGGCTGCACCCCATGCTGTTTATGTCTATCAAGTTCAAAGTTGCTCTGGTCGTATTGACTCCCTGGGAATTTCACCATGAGTAAGCATTTCAGAGTGTTAACCAACTGTTAACCCTTCTGCTGCCTTCCTCTGTTTCCAAATGCTAAACCATGGACTGACGCTGCCATTTCTCGTCTGTGGAGTGAGTTGTTTTATAATGCGGTTGAGAGTCTCAGAAGGAGGGTTTTGATCATACAATTATGTGCTACGTGATCCCATCTCCTCCAATTCACCCTCCGTGATGACTTTGGCAGAGCCGAGGGGGAAACACGGGCCCTGACCCCCTCTTCCTCCCCTTCAGCACCGGAGTGAATGCAGTCCTGGGACCTGGCTGTAAAGCCACTTGGTGACTTTTAGTTATGAAGTTGAACTTCAGGGTTTAGTTTGCGTGAATGAGCCTGTTTTGCACAAGCAGCTAGAGATAAAGGCAGACTACTCAGTGCATTGTTTTCCTAATTCCCACAGCCAAATAACTGCTGGCCATGCTAAAGGGGTCTGGGAAAGAAATGGGGCGACCTTGAGGACACACACAGGGAAAAACATGCACAGCCAAGCCCGAAAGGGAGGGTGAGAAAATATTAGTGTTGTTATTCTCCTTTTGAAAGGAGAGCAACGGTTTGAATACTCGGCCAATGTGCCCAATATATCCTGGTTGTTTTGTTCTCGGAACAGACAGTATCTCATCACAGTTAATGCATGAATGAACTGGGTACTTCAGAGGGAAGACCGGTGGTGGGTGGCTGGACCCGTCACAGCCTTACACACTAGGGGTGTAACACAGAACTACTGTCTGCACCGTTTATGTCACAAAAATATCCGTATTGACTATAGTCAATAGATTCATTTTCCCTCTTGTAACCTGCCAACAAAATGTAAAAAAAACAATATTTATTATTATTATTATTATTATTATTATTATTATTATTATTATTGTTATTATTATTTGTGTTTAGCCTATTTCATCACATTTTGACAAATATGCATCATAGAAAGTCATGTTGCTTTGGCTCATAGCAGTTCCTGTTTGCACTGGATTACTGTTTATGCTGAAGAAAAAGTTCAAATCTGATCCAAGATCAGAAGTTATAATGGAATGCATTATTTTCTCTGTAATTTCCAGTCGGATTTATGGATCTTTATAGCAGTGTGTTTGATGTCTGGGTGTTTTTTGAGTTATGACGGGGGATGTGGAGTGGACTGCAAAGATTCTGTTCAAAGATAATTATTTGCTTGTTGTATTCAAATAATTATTTTTCATTTACATCCCTACTACACACAAATACAAGCGTGAACGCATCTGTTTAGGACCACTGTGTACTTTAGTAGAACTATTAGTTAACTGGATGGATAATATTGTAGCAAAGGATTAAGAGTCCTGATGAGTTTCAACAGAATTAACCCCATGAACTTCAAGGTCACAGCATGATGTCTATATGTACAGTATGTATGTGTATGTTAACCCATCCTTGTTTGTCTCTCTGCTGAATCCGCACAGACAGCTGAGGTTTGTGGTTATTATTAGCTATAGTCATTAATCTATCATCAGTTCAGACCACAGACCACTTTACTCCTGCTGTATTTACTTTACCTGCAAGTGGAATCCAATAAAAGCTTTCATGGTTTTGACAGCTGAAGTTTGCCACCCAAGCAGACAAAAGATATGAAATACTTGTTTCCTATCTTTATTCAGGCATAGATGTGAAAGTCGTAGAGATGTTTTATTCTTGTGTAAAGCTTTCTGCCTCTGTGTGACTCTGCTGCAATTGTCAAGAGAATAGATTTCCTAATTAGTCTTCTGCTGAACCCTGAAAGGTTTCCATAGTTGCAGTCCAATGAGCATTTCTTGCTGCTATCTCTAGAGCACAAAAAGATACGCAAAATAAAATTGTAACACATCTTTGATTATGGTCCTGATCCTGGCCTCTTGTGTAACTCTTTCCGTCCCGCATTATGTAACTTCATATTAAGGGGTTAGGTACAATAGTTTGAAAATAATGTATGGTTCCAAGATTAAGAACAAACTTTAAAACCCAACAAATGTGTATATTAAAGTATACTAGTTTTGTTCAGGGCTCTGAATCTCAGCAGATAGAGAGAGGACTGTAAAACAAAGATATGAGCCAATAATAAGCCAGAGAGCCAGTGGTTTGGTTCAGTCTGTGCTTGTGTTATTTAAGGTTTACAGAGTGCTGGCCTGGTTAAAACGTGGAATGTGGAAAAGAGTGAAGTGCAGGGGCTTAACTGACTGGATCTTGAGAGAATATGGGACGTGAAAGCTGTATAAAAGCCCTTCTGCACATGACAGCAGGACACTGAAATGTGAATATGCAGCATTTCCTGTTCAACCGGTTGGGCGAGATAGATGGCAGTGTGTGTACATTGTGAGCTGTGTTTGCAGTCGGTGTTTGCAGTATGTGCATTTGTGTGTATGTGTATGTGTATGTGTGTGTGTGTGGGTGGGGTTATGATTTCATTCGCAGGTTAGGAATATAGCACTGTGCCAGTTAGCATGGTTGTTATGGCTCCATATTAATGCGTTACTGATTAAAGCACAGGATCAGTGGCAAATTGTCACAGTTTTCCTGCCCTGCTGAGTTGCTTTGTCTGTTGCGTGTGTGCACTGGTGTGTGTGTGTGTGTGTGTGCTGAGCACTGTGTGTCATATGAGAGACCATGTCTGCCGTGATTACAATCATGCATCTGATCACGAGGGCCGTGCCCCAGTCTTGCTGAGCACTTCATTATTAACCCTTCCCTAACTGTCTGTACTGCTGAAAACATCAGAGGGAAGTATCTCTTTCATTTTCCTTCTTGTGTGTAAAAGGTGGGGGATGGAGAGAGTTATGTGTGTGGTAGTATGAGGTGCAAGGTGGCTGACAACTGTTGCATTTTTTGCCCTCCTGCGGTTTTAAAATCATTGTGAAGCACTTGGATTCCGTCAGGCTGGTTAGATTAGTGTGCAAACTCTTTGTTTGTTCATGATACAACATCATCCAGGATGTCCTACCTGGACGTGGCACATACAGAATTGATACAGCTCACACATTCATGTACAGTAGTTGTTTTAAGTTCATGCTTTACCAACATGATGAATGACAAATTCTAATCTAATCTTCTAATTACTCTGCATCAGTAAAATACTTGGTACTCAGCCCTGAAAAATAGCAATACTGATCTTGTATGTTTTTGGGTCTTCCTGTAGGACCTGGTTAACACTGCTGCCAGCACCTTCTTCTTCTTCTTGTCATCTCTTGTGCTGGCCTGCATCAACCACAGCACTGGAGCCGAAATAGCAGCAGTGGTGAGTAGTCTGAACCATCTTCTTTTGCCATGATATACAGATACGATAAGAGCTTTACAGACCTCCTCTTATCAGTCATCAAGTTTCTTATCAAGGAATATCACAGAGGATTTATACTTGAGTATCAATGTACTGATGCAATAGAACAGTGTCAGATAAGACCTCAGCAAAGGTCTCAATTAGGTAATTGACTGTCATCATAGTCATATGCTATCATATGCGGAATTCACATATTTTAATGCTGTATGTATGTGTGTGTGTGTGTGTGTGTGTGTGTGTATTTATAGTAACTAAACTCATTTATCGGTATGTGTCTATGCACTTTAAAAGCTTTTAACCCTGATATTATCAGTTTGTACAGATTTTCATGTGATCTGTAACAAATTGACACATTTTAAGAACTGTGTGTTAAGTATTTAATCTGTTAGTTCCTGTTCAATTCAGACATTGTTATTCTACTTCCTGTTTCCACTTGTATGCAGATCTTTGGCTTCCTGGTGACAGGTGTGTACGGAATTAACACCTTCCTGGCGGTACGGCGGTGGCGCCTTGGCAATGGGTGTCAGGGGGCGACTCAGACCAGCGAGTACATGCGAGCACGCACGGCATCTCGTGGAGAAATGGAGGCAAGACCTGAGCTTGCATGAGTGCGGGCACACAATGAGACAGACTAAGGGAAAGCCACGCTACCGGCAGCTGACTGAGATGGATGCTACTCCGCCTTGAGAATGGTATTTCATTCAAGTCTTGAGTGGAAGGGCTATCTCAAGCTCACCACCTGCTTTTGACTTCTCATCACAACACCTCAGCTGTGCTTTCCGCCTGCCCAGCCACTGAATAAATCTTCATTTCATAGCCACAGATGAGTTATGTGGCTTTGTTCATCAGTGACACATAAAGACTCTAAAGTGAAGAGCTCAGAGTCAGAATTGAAGGTATTCTCTGTTAAAACTTTCATCCACATATCTTTCTAAACCAGCGTGAAGGATGAGTTCCGCGACGATCCAAAAAAAAGAGGCTGACTTCACACCAACTGTGCACCAACCCCTATTCTGGCGTAGGTGTTGACTTTTTAGAATGTTTTGTGTTTCACTGTGAATGAAGCAGAGGAAAAGAAAGGTCAGCTTTTGTACAGTTTGCTTATTTTACGCTGCTTTCTGTGAAGTCTGTGGTAGTAAATGTGATCGGGGATCCAGGAAGCCACTGGACCGGCAACAGACAGTAACCTGTAGTGCAACCGAAGCGCCATGACTTTACTGTTCTTTCGTAGATACTGACATCAGCCTTCGGCTTCTACCTGTGAGCAAGGCTGACAAAAGATATTTTAATCTAAAGATTACAAATGCTGACTTAAAGAGTGTGTTTCTCCTTTACAGCTTTATACATACCTTTTATCATGTGACCGTTAGCCACTATTAAGATCTTTCCGGCCAGCAATTATACAGTAACAGCACTGAACTGCAATAAAAATAGGCAGTACAGCAATATTTTAAGAGTGAAAAAGACTGATTTCTTTGTAACACTTAACACATCCAATGGGTTTTACACAATTGTAATAACAAAATAAATACACTTCACTCCATCTATTTTATCCCAGGTTGTGCCTAACAACTTGTTACTTGTGTATGAGACTGGTAATTGGTATCTTGTTACTTTTGCAAATGTCCAAAGCTTCAGGTAACTTAAATGTTGGCGGTATAGTTCATGAATCATCATTCATTTAGAAACAAACATCATTAGGTGACCTGGTCAAGATCAATGCCCTTAGCCTATACACTGTATCTCAGGTATTGACAAACTACTTTCAATCTTTGATTCTTAAAAAAACAAACATTTGAAATGAAATCACAGGGTGCCTCGACCTGAACGCTGTATTTCTTAATGACTTCATAATTATTAGACATGATAGGACTATCATAGAGATGAACTGATACTTTAAGTTACATGATTAAAAAATGAAGTCATGTGAAGGTGGCGACAGGTGGGATGGAAATTCTGTACATTTAGTGCTATTGCTGCAGCTTTTCCTCTATTTGGTTGATTGAAAATGTGCATATGTATTTACAGTATATCACACACTTCATGTATTATGAAATCATTCCACAGCTGCAGCTGTTATACAGGTCACAGATACAGAGTGCAGAATCATGCCTTTATTGTTCAGCCAGTGTACTTGACAGGCAAACAGGAGGATTAATCTTGAAAAATCACATAACATTTGCTTTTTAGGATGGAGGAAGAAATGTCAACTTCATTTTTGGTGACTTACATTGTTCTAATGTATTGAATCTACCCTATAGTTACATGTATGTGTGAGTGTGTGTGTGTGTGTTTTCGGTGTTGTTTGAGACCTTTTTATGTATATTAGGCTTGGGTGAGTTTGTGCAGGGTCTAAATTGACTCTATGGCTCCATCTCCTGGTCTTCTTCTAAAATGTATTCCTTGTGACTTCAGTGGACTGACTGCACAGCCAGGTTAACTACAGGAGTGTGTGTATAAGGGAAGGACCAGATATTTTATTTGACTGTTCAGAATGAAAAATAAAAACTGTATGGCTTCTTAAACAGCCCAAAAGTTACCATACTATACAGTATGCTTGGTTAATCAGGCTTTTCTCATGTTTTTTGTAACTTATATCATGTACAACTGCTATTTTAAAGTAGTTTTATGAATAGACAATCATATTTGTTCTTCTGTCTGTCACTTACATTGATGCATTTGTTTCTGAGTTATATAAAAATGTTCACATAAACATTTGTACAGGAAACGTTGCAGCACAATCATGCAAGTGCATTATGCTATTTGATAATATAAACTGACCAACATATTTGTCTTAAAACTATCAAGCCACAGCTCTCTATATACAACTTTATGCTACAATATATTATGAACTGTTTGTATTTATGAGGAAGAGAGAAAATGCTTTCCACTAGTTTTAATTGTTTGTGCTATAAACAGTGGACATGATCAGTGTGACTGGATGAAATTAGAGGTGAGACGCTCTTCTGTTTCCTTTTATTTTCTGTGTGCTTTGTTAATGATTACAACGAGGTCTGTCTTGTACAGCATGGAGCCGTACTTAGCTGTATTTTTATATTTAAAACAATCACAAAAGGGTTCACATCCGTTTATAGTGACAGTTTAAATAAAGTGATTTGGACATTATTGAAAATAGCTCAGGTTTTTATTCAAAATATTTTGCACAAAAGGGCACAACAGTAAAAAACACACATTTATCACCTACAATAGTTCAGAAAGGGGGCTCATGTATAAAATGGTACTGTGTTCATCTAATGGTAACATTATTTTGTAACTTGAATGTGCATGGCAAAGGGGTGTGGTCGAGTTTGCTATCCAGTGAAAACCAGATTTGGTGATTTAAAGGTTTTCACATTAAGTGAAAGATTCATTATTACCTTTTATGGATAAAATTTGCTCTACTTGTTAGGATAAATAAACAAATTTAGTACCCAGTTGGATTGTTTGAAAATGATCACAACGTTTTACATGGTTTTATTATGTGGCTGTTTTTCTTAGCTTGTGAAAAGCAGTGTTTTGGAGATACATGGTTTTCACAGGACAGCAAAGATATAACATTGCGCACTGATTCGCATCAGTTTTTGCACTGCAGATGTGTGTACATATAGCTCTCAGCAGGCACAGATCTGAGACCTTTTTCTCAATCTGTTAATAACAAATGACATACTTCTTCAAGGAACCATTCAGACAAAATCATAATATAACTGAAGCCTTAACAAACTACCAATAAAAGGGCACAACAATTAATAATTATCGCATGTTACTGCAACTTCTATTTGTATGTCCGTTGCTCAGAATAGTTGAAATTCCGCAAGGAAGTCAGAGGCCACTAATGCTAACTTTCAGTCATCCATTTTCAAGTCAGAGCACTGTTGTAACACTCATGTAGTGCAGTGTATATTACATAAACAGTCACTGTGGCATTCGAGTGCGTCTAATTTCTCAGTAGTGGCCATGGAAGAACTGAAGAATCAAGCATACATGCAGAAGTGACAATCAACATACAAAACAAAGATTCACATAATAGGATATTTGGCATTTAACAAAACAATAATGCATTAAGTGGCTTAATGCACTGTTATTTACACACACACACACAGATGCACGCGCACACACACAGGTTGTAAGAAGCACAAACAGCAGACAAACTGAAAGTCTTTTGAACTTTGGGTTAATGGAACAGGTTTGAAAATGTATCATTATTTCTGTTGTTTAGATTCACAACAACTCTCAAAAATAAAAGTTTTGTAACAACCCAGAAAAGGTTGTGATGCAGTACAGCATGCCACGGGAACTCTGCTGACCCAAAAGTTGAATTTAAAGGAAAATAAGCAAACATTATCCTCAAATTATAAAAATACACTCTTGTAGAGTTAAGACAATTGGACAGAGGTTGTAACCAGCCAACCTGCAACCAATCTGTTCTTCTATATACTATACATATGTTTTTCTTATAGTAATACTGTAAATTTATGGCTGATGATGCCCCATGTACATAGGAAGTCCTGTCTTTCCGTTTTTGTCCATTTAAAACACCTTTGTTACAATACAGCTTCATTATTAGTTAACATTTATTCACTAAGAATATTAATTTAGTGTTGTAGTTTATTATGTATGTAAAGGGTTCCGGTACATGCCCAGAAGTAAATATTAGTCATAATTTCAGATTTACACATGTGCTCCCATATGCAGATTGTACAAACAACTTAAGAACTCAGTATAATGAGACTAAACACTTTCACAGCTTTATGATCAATTAAGTATCAGTTTGATAATGGCATTTATTTATATTTTTCCCAAATCATCTAAGACACTGGATATGAGTGGGCATCACTTGGGCATGAAAAAAGCAGGGTTTTTATAAACTACTTGTAATGGACAGTAAATTACTCATTTAAAAACATGTCTATACTTGACACATCAGTTTAGACTTGTTTCCTAAATGTCTTGACATGATTTATGTGTGAAATACAACACTTGGATGCTCAACAGATAAAACATTATAAAGCGGATAAGGGAAGAGGATCTGGCTCCCATCTAGAAAACTGTGTTGAGAGCCCCCCAGCTACCAATAAATGTACGTAATAAACAAACAATCATTGTGACCCTCTACTGTACATGGTATTAATGTAACCTTGTGCCCTAATGAAACACTTGCAGATCTTGCAGATGGCAGCACAGCAGTGGAAATTCCTCCTGCAAAGGTTTATTTTGTATGATCAAACATCCGCTGGTAAAGATCCCCGACGTCTCAGTCCGAATCAGAGTCTGAAAACTCATCTAGAAAACAAAAGGGAAGAAACAGCTTTGGTATCAGAATGAGTGTTGGTTCTCTGTGTGGGCTTTACATAAATAAGTAAAACTTTGGTAACTGTAGTGACTTTTATTCAGAAAAGTAACAAATCCTAAATATGGTGCGCTTAAAGACATTTCAGTGAGAGGACATGATGGATTAAAGTTCATGAGTCGTGATATCGCAGAAAACATTTATGGGTTCTACTATAACAAAATTACACAAAAAGTGCAACACATCAAACTGTTGTTTAATGGGTTGGTTCACCTACATCACAAAAGGCAGAGTCACTTCCCCCTGGCAGTATCAAACAGTGCACATAGTTTCTTAAAGGTCTTAAAATATCCATCTCTGAAACTTCTGCCACCACCACAATGCAAAGGAGGTGAAATATTTGTTTTATTTATATCACTCAAAGCACTGAAAATGACAAAAATAACTACAAGCAAACCTTGTGGAGCTGCAATTGTGTACAAACTGTTAATATCAAAGTGAAAGAGAAGAAATGTAGTGTGCACAAAATGGGTTTACTGAATGTTTAAACAGTCTGTCTTGTAGAAAATTTGTGCACCCCTCTGCAATACAAGGTTTTCCAAAGTGGGTTAAAACACAAACCCAGTGTCATTTCTAAACTCTTTTATGTGAAAACAGCTTACCTTAGTAATTTTATTAGCATTTCTTCAGGCTGCACAAAAATGCATCCCAAATGTCAACATTACAAGTTAAAAGGATTTTTACCTAAATTACAAAAGCTAAACATAAAAAAACATCACAGCATGTTCTGTGATGTTTTTTTAGTAACAGGGACCCCACAAATAAATTCCATCTCAGAGACAGACATCTCTGTCTCCATGCAAACAAAGCCGAAACTATCAGCATGAAGTGAGAAACTATGTTTTTTATTTGGACGAACCAACCCTCTAATCCCAAAAAATGGGCAGAGGATTCTTGCAGTATGCAAAAGAAAAAAATCTGACACATATACTATCCCTCAATAAATATAGCAGAAATGACCTGATACTCTTACAGATATACACAAATATAAAATCGAACAAAAATGCTGATGTATGACATCCATCCCTCCAGCTGGGTAGTGGATTCAAACAGTACTAATCACTGCATCAACATGTAGTAAAAAGTAGAGAAATATTCCAGAATATGGACTTTTCTTGTATGTGCATGTATTTCATTTTAAAATACACTTGGATCTGTATTATAATATATTGCATATATGTTTTTCGATATTTTTTAATAATATTAACATATTAAATATATTTGTGTTGAATTAATGGATGTGTAGTTTAGAGCAAAAGATTTTCCAATATCATATATAAGCAATATATGTATGCCTACACAAACTGAATTAGCAGTTATGTACAAAACTATTTCTGCAACATATCACCACATACACTTACGTTCATATAAAAACATAGACATAAACATACATAAAATGTTCTTATATGGCCATATATTAGACTTTAATTTGGGGTATTACCTTGCTGTCTTGATGGCTCCTCATTGGACTCCCCTCCTTGCTTTAGGAAACTGGCCAGCTCATTAAAAATGAGATAAAAATCTAAAGCGAAAACGATGGTGGCAATGAACCCAAATATCTGTGAAAAGAAGGACATGTGATATCAATATAGTGAAAAACTACCGGTGAAATAAGAACTGAGGTTGTTGGACAAAAGCTAAGTGTGTTGCATGTACTTAATACATAAATGATGGTGTTGTAGGCTGTAAGATAGTTCAAACGTTTACCCCAGCAGCCTTAGACGAGCCATCCCCATATTTGGACACTGCAATGATGGAGATGATGAAAAAGATAATGGAGGCAGTCACACATCTCATGAAATCCTTTAAGAGAGACCAAATAAACACCATGATTCAGAGGAAACATCAAAACTTTATATTTTACTTTTAGCACTGTTAGACAGTTTGTACAGCATGTACTGTATATCCACTGCAAAGTCTTAAATTTGATTTGAAAATTTCTCTCACCATAAGAGGCCAGAGGAAGCCTTTAAACCTCTCATTGAATTTGGTGGAGTAGGCAAACAACAAGAAGAGAGCAGCCAGGAATTCCAACAGGGGGACTGTCACGAAGGCTGCTGCTGTGGATGCCGCGAAACACACAAATGACACAAAGGAAAGAACCTACAGAGACAATTAAAAATAGAGAGAGAAATAAGTGGAACATGTCCTATATGTTTTAAGCGCTAAAAGGTTTAGACAAGAAGCAAAGGGTAAACTAAAACCCTTTCCTTTTGTGATTGACAAAAACTAAGAGAACTAAAACTAAAGAGACCCTGAAGGAGGCACTTTATTATTTATCAATTCTAAATTAGCAGCTTGAAGCCAAAAGCAAATTTACATTTTTAATCCAACTGAGAAATAAAATGAAGCAAAATCGTCTTTAATCTTCTCCCTTTAAGATAACGTTACACTACCCTGAAGCCGTGAGTCAGGGTGAATTACAGCTCCAGGCCCACTTCCTGTAAGGAGATACAGCTGTTAAAAGACTATGTTAAATTCACACAGGCTTATACACTGATGCACCGAATCCCTCTCGTTCTCTCACACAAACACACTTGTGCAAACACCCACAAACACAAAGCTGTAATAATGAAACAAGCCGTCAAAATGTGCTCTGTGTGCAACCAAGTCTGAAGTATTTACAGTATTTACAGTACACCATAAATGAGCCTGCCATGTGTTTGATGCTCTCCACTAGAAGGGCTGGACACACCATATCAGCGCAAATGATAGCAAGCAAGTCCAGACACTGTAATCTCAAACAGGCCCGGCCATCTTGTCTTTGTCTCAGTCAGTCATCCTACACTGCCCTGAGGTTAGGCACTCCCCCTCACTGAACCCAAACTGCTGCAGCTGCTGTTCTTTAAAAAATGCTGCTACTGAGCAGCATTCTGTCAGGGAACCATAAGATCTCCCTGTAATAAGACAACAACCAGGGGAAACTATTAAAGCTTATTTCTGAGTTTCTCAGTAAATCCTCTGGCTTGTGGAGAATAAAGTCTGGAAAATTAAGTTGACTGTGTTGTGCTGAACAACTCAAACCGCACAGAATGAACTGGCACAGTCTCTACATATTCTTGTGTTTTAAATAATCTGGCAAAAAAAACAAACTGCAACTGATAATTATTTTGTTATGAATTATTTTGTTGTTGTTTTATTTGTTGATTGATTAACCGTTTGGTCAATATAAAAAGTAAAAATAGTAAGAAATGCACAATATCTCAGGGACCAAGGTGACATCTTCAAATATCGATCTATCTCTATCCAAAAGTCAAATATATTCTATGTACAATGAAATAAAAAAGCAGAAAATCCTCACAGTGAAGAAGCTGGTCACACTTTTGCTTGATAATTGACTCAAGATTAAAAATTGTTGGTGATTAATTTTCTGTTGAGTAACTATTCAATTAACTGCTAAATCACGTTCAAAGTCTGGTATTAGATGGGAGAGAGCATGTTTTCAAAGCATTGCCCTTATAAGGTATGCGATGAGTCAGATGAGCAGGTACTGAAGGTGCTGCATATGTGGGCTTTTAAACTCACAAAAAAAATACAAATCCTGAGGCCTGAAACACATTACATGCTGAGCTAAAAATTCTGACAACTTTCAGTTTATACTACCAAGGGAGGAGGCACACATTGCACACATTTACTCCACCATGTACCTTTTTATTAACAGCTTGTTAGCATTTTGAAAATATTTCAAACACTACAAAAATCTGTTTTTTGCAGTGTGCTGTGATTTCACATTCCTTATCGGGTCTGTTGCTGGCTGAGGCTGAGAATCCTAATGAGACATGCATGGTGGTCTGACACACTGTGTATCATAATGCATGCTCAGCAGGATATGTGTCTGACTAATACTCCCAAGAATGGTAAAGCTACAGGCTGCACTCTCTTTGGAAGACTCACATCTAACAGTTGTTCACTGACTGCGGGCTGATTTAACACCGCCTGTAAGCTTTCAATTGTGTCAGAAAAAGACAATAAACTGTGATACTATATTCTAAGAAGAATAACTTACCAGCCACAGCAAGTAGGCTACACATTCACACAGTACACATGCAGTAAATACCAGTAATATGAGCAGTAAAAATACCAGGGTGCATTCAAAGCTAAAACCAAATCAATCCCAATGTGCAATAACAATAACCATAGGAGTTCCACACCTTCGAACTACCATTAAAACTTAAACTTTAGTGTCTGAGTTTTGGTTTAATTTGCTGAACAGTTTTTGGTCTCTTACTCAAACACAATAAAGATGCTTTTTTTATCTGTGGTGGTCAGAGCGGTGAATAATTACACAGCATTTGACGCACTTTGGATAATGTACAGTCAACTGTTTTTTTAAGGAACTATTACTTCTATTAAAAGTAGTTCCAATCAGAGTTGGTATGACAGTATGACACAATATAGATTTGTCAACCATCGGAGATTTTAACCATACTGTTATACTGTGGTAGCTATCCTCTTAATCTGTAGTTGTAGTATTAAATCATTGTGGGAAATCTATGACCAAGACTGTGTTGTGGCAAAACTGGATCTATATTAGATTTTGCATCAATGTGGTGAAGTACTTGTCAGGTATTTAAGTAACAGTGATACAGCTTTTGTAAATAAACATTTAAAATTACATATTTTAATGATGTGAGCACCACAATTGAAATTCCATTTACCTCCATTACATTAAGGCGGGGGCAGGAATGACACCAACAGTTGCATGGCTAGATTCTACAATAGGTAAATGAGAAAGTTTTTATAGATTAGCATTTAAACTGAGCTTTTAGATAAAGATAGAAGGAATTCAACCACACAAACCATAAATGATGATACAGTAAATCCCATAATACCTCACACTCTCACCACAAACACACAGCCGGAGTTCCCCTAGAAATTACATTTGCAGAGGTGCAAAGACACACATTTATATCTCATCTCTTGATCAATTTAGTTAGCAGATTATGGCCTAAATAACAGCCACATTTATTTCAAATACTGTCATTTGCTGTCACAAAGGTTTGAGCTTTAACCAGTTGTGCACCCTCACCTACATGCATGTAGCAGTGTGCACGTCTGCTGTCTGTCAGTAGAGGTCAATGGGTTTGCAGTTAGTTCCAAAGAAGCATTTTAGCTTCGGGCTGAAGATCACAGTCACATTATTAAGTAGCAGTAAAGAGGCTTTATTGTGGTGCAGGGGTCTGTTGAGCTCTGATTGTGCTCCAGGCTACGTGTTGTGGCAACAGTGTAAAGGATGTGACTGTGGGGAAAATGACTGCTCTCTCACAGCCCAACATGAGCTGAATGTCATATGACACAAATGTGAGGGTTCATACAGCATTCTTAACTCAGTTATTGCTAGAAGACACTTCCTGCAAATAATGCATGAAGATGGTGACCACCCCTCCCCTCACCAGCACTAACGCCATCACACAGACACACAAGGACAGTGTTTCAGTTCCTGGTTTGTTGAAATCCACTTCATAAGTACATAAAAAAGAACTCCTATATGAACTTTGACATCAGCTAAATAAACTGTATGCACAAATTGACATAAGAGAGAGAAATTGAAGATGCGTACACCGTTATTTGATCACTGACAGTACAGATGACTCCCAACAATGAATGTCTTCGTGTCCATAATCCAGTATTATTCCAAGTTTCTGCAGTTTACGGCACAGTTACTATAAACCCTTACTGCTCCTCCCTTAACTAATGGAAACCTTGTGACGGGAACGGACTGACCTATATTCAAAGTAACAGTAAAACAATCTGCCAAAGTTACTTATAAAAGTGCATTTAAGCAGCACACAGCTACAGCTGCCATCATTGTCCTGTTATAAATACAATAAATAAAAGTATCCAGAACGCAGCGCGCTTTGACTTTTGTGCGCATCGGGGCGAAACAATAGTACAGTAACAGTTTAATTTAAGAAGTTATTTCTCTGGCCATTTCTTACCACTTCAGCAATAAGCAGCATGCCTTTCCTTGAGGTGGCGAACTCTTTGCTCGGAAGAACAGAGAGTAGGACAGTCTGGCGCGGCCGATTCGAGTCGGGAGCCTCGATGTCCCCCATGGTTGGAAAAGATTTGAACTCTCCTCAAACTTCGGATAGCCAAAACTCCACGTAATGTAGCGGATTCAGTGCAAAACAATACAAAAAAAAAAAAGAGATGTGGAGGCGTGAGGCTTCTCGGAGGTGGAAACGGAAACAGTGACAGCGCGGAAACGAAGCGCGAGAGCTCCAAAAAGCGCAACATCTGCTTTCTCCAGATGTGAAATGCGATGCCCCCCAGCTGCACACAACACAATCCTGAGCCACTCAGTGGAAATATCCAACTCGTGATGTCTCAAGTCAAAGAAAAATCTTTATTGATATTTGTTGTTTCACAAGATGTGTATCCATTTTGAAAATATATAAACATATTTCATTTGATTTACAGATAGAATCTTAATTATATATTTTTTAAAAACTTTGAAGTGGCTGAAACGTTTTGAAACAAAGTGTAGACCTATAATAAACTCTTATAATACAATACGCAGTTATTTAGAACTTTTTAATGAATACTGTAAATTATTTTTTCATTCATTGTTTTGATTCTGGGCTTCACTTCTTGGGTTGTTGAATGTGATGTTCTTGAAAAGCGTGTAGCTGTCCACAAACAGCAACCCAGCTGACATTAAACCAACTATCTGCAAATAGAGAGCAGATCTCAAATCACATTACATGTCATCACCAGTGTGTGTCTGTGTGTGTGTGTGTGTGAGAGAGAGAGAGAGAGAAAGAGAGAGACAAAAGCAAAATCTTCAAGAGGACTCATATTGTTGGGCGACAGCACAGATAAAAGCAATGTTTGAATATTTCATTTTATTGACAGTGTATAGGGGAAAACTCAAATCCACATATCAAAATTGGCCCACACAACTCAGATTGCAATTATAGATTAAAGAAATATTTCTCACCCCTCCAACCAGTGTGCCTGTGACAGTGTATGTAGCCAAAGCCATCAGACTCAGGACAGTAAAGTATAATGTTGCAAACAATGAATTGAACATATCCTAAAGAGAAGACAAGAGAAGACCTTGAGAATAACAACATGTACAGCAGGCTATTCTTTTAAGCACCAGGCCTTAAAAAAAACGTGTAGAATTTTATAATGTTGTGCTGTAAAACATCACCCACCATGAGAGGCCAAAAGAAGAAAGTCAGCCTCTTGTTGAGTTTGAGCACATACAGCAGCACCAGAAGTAAAGTGATCAGAAACTCCAACACTGTGGCTGTAGTGTACTTTGGTGTGGCTGCTACAGTGAAACACACAAAGGCTACTAAAAAAGTCACCTAAAGCAGAAAAAGAGACACAAAACACAGAAAAAATGTTACTGCAATAATAAAAAATACAAATTTTAACACATTTTTTTAATTGTAATGCAATTTTCACTAAGCTTAGCACATCAGTTCTTCTGATTCACACATTACCTTCCTCCATACAACATGTTGCACATTCCAGTTTATGCAGAAAGAGGAACTGAGTTTTCCCTGATGTTTCCACATCACATTTTGTACATGAACTACTGACCAAGTAGCTCCTTTAGTCTCTAAAATTCTCTTGGCACTGTATGTTAATGTGGGTCACTGCTATCAACAAACTACTTTTAGTAACATTGTTAACTTAAGCATACAGCAAACTAGTGGTGCTACATGTTATTGCCTCTGCACTGTAACTGTATCTGTAGCTCTTTCCTTGAACTTCGGTTGAAATCTTTTGGTGAAGAGCAAATATTCTCACCATCTCTGCTACTTTCAGGATTCCCCTCTTTGATTTGAGAAAAGCAATGTCCACGTCCATGGATGGGCTCCTATTCAGATCCTCTGACATGATGGTGCGATTTCATTAGCAAAAGACGACTCACTCTGTTTCCTGAAACAAGCTATTTCCTTTTAGCTGTATAGGAAATGGCTGTTACTAAATTCATGCGCAATGTTTTCACACCAGCAGCTATTCTGAACTTCTACTGAAAAAGCTTAACAGGACACATAAACAAATATGTGCTCTGACATTTAGATACATGGTCCTAGAAGAATCTGCATCAGGGCCTGCCAGTGATTTGTAAAGCTGAAGAGAGAGTTTGGTTAATTTTATTTGTAAAACTGAGGCTGAGGGGGAAACATTTAAGATACTGTTAGCTTTTTTGACGAACAAATCAGCTGCAGCAATGCCACCAGTAGAATAAACTATTAAGAAGTTTCAATGTTTACTTCTTTCCTTTTCACTATTCATAGTGAAATTATGTGTTGACTGTCTTAAGCAGAACTATGTGTATATGCACAAAATGCATGCATTATGAATGTACCAGATGTACAGTCATGAGTCATGATACATGTAATAAATAAAACTTTCTTTATTGAAAACCACTTTCTGAAGTATGCATGTAGAAAAGATACAGAATGAATTACATAATCCAACATGGTACAATTTATTCACTTTACCCATCGCTCAAACTGAATCTATGCGTTACATAAATACACATCTCTTGGATTTTATCTTGCACATTGCACATATCATCACCAGTCACACTGCTGACTTGGTAATAAATCCCATGCTGATTCTGATTTAGGCATGATCAAAATAAATACATTTCCCTATCTGTTCTACACCACTAAAATGAGTTGTGACTTAAACCACTGATGCACTGTTTCTCCAGGTCAGGTAGAAGTTGTGCTGATTCATTAAAATTACAACTGTAAAAGCTATTTGCATAATCAATGTAATGTTGTTATAATTCCCTTTTTGTTTCACCACATCAACACTGTACAGAAACCATTTTACAAAGAATTCAAAAACATAAACATTATTAAAATAAGGTTGTTTGTTGTTCTGTAGAAAGGCACATCTTTTTGGAGGTTTTGCTTCCTCATCCTGGTTTCTGGTTCTGTAGTTTTGTTCTCAGTGTGGCCACTCACACTTCCAAGGTACAGACTTGGGCACTTTGAGACACTTTCCCAACTTCTCACAGCCTGCGGGGGCCCAATTCTGTAACAGAGACAAGCCATCACAGTAAGCACAAGAAAAGTTATCAAAAGGTATTATTTATTGACCACCAGATCATTTTTGTGTCCTGTCGTGTGCCATGAGGGTCTTGGGCTATTAGGTGGTCACATTTGTGCATTGTCTCATTAAATATTGTCCCATCATGTTTAAGATTTATCAAGTAAATGTTTATTGGAACAATCATTTAAGGATATAGTTTTTTTTTTTAATATATACATGGTGTCAAGGAATTTTAAAACTATGCGTTACTAGCTCATGCAATTATATAATATTTTGCAGAATTGAGTCATAAAACCTGATCTTACGGACTACATTTTACACTACACAAGTAGGAACTTTAGTCAGAGAAAACATCTTATAAAACCTAATAATAAACATATCGTATTTAATTTTCTTCTAAATGAAAAACTGGAACTCAAATAATGCATTATTGACCTGTATCACATGAATGGAATGGAAAGCGCCACATACATGTGAATAATGGTTTGCTTGACATACATGATGTAAAAAGTCAATAGATCCGTATTAGCACAACATAGGATAAGACATTATATTACAGGACAGGCACCAACATCCCCGGCTAAAATTGTGTTCATTTTCTTCACCACAAGGGGGCAGTGCTATGCCACAAATAAATCCACAGCGGCCCAGCCCTCACAATCTGGTGCTTGAGGTGACACAGGCGATGCTCAATTTAGCTACTTTGAAATAAACTAAAATATTTTTTGCCCCAACAAAAGCATAACACAGACACACAGTCAAGGTGGAAAGGTCCAGATTAAGGTGATAACAGAATTCACATTCAGGAGTGAGTTTGTAATGGTGATAAACAAATGTGAAAACTAAAAGCTAAATCTGTTGAAGTGGAACATTAAAAGTCTTCAGGCTCAATGCAGACTGGAAACAGATAGCAACTGAGAAAAGATGTCTATTTAGAGACGTTTATTGATTCTCTTTTATTTTTTTCATTAAAGCTTTATCAATTTTCTCTTTTGTATTCATTTATCTGAGCGTGATGCAGACAACAGAGAGATAAGATGAAAACACGCCTGGCTTTGAGGGCTGCTGGCCCGAAAGAAACACATTATCTGCTGTGAAAACTGAACTGGCTTTGGTCCACTGCCTCTGGATATAGCGGGAAGAGAGTTAGCTGCTACACACAACAAAGCCTGTTTTTGCAACATAATAATTCTTGTTTTGCAATTTTGCTGACAAAGTGCATGATGAAAGTAAAAGATATATCTATCTATGTTATGTAACTCTCACCATCACGGCCACGTCACACATGTTGAGCTGGGGAATACCGGGCACCAGAGTCTTTTTATGGCGCTCCACAACCAGAGAGATCCTGCTCAGCACATCCTGGTACTCTTTAGTCATAACACTGCAAACACACAACTAACAATTAGTTTCATCATCATACAATTTATAGAAATGAAATGTCAAAAAACTGTGAAAAAATGTCACAAGTTCCCAGAGCCTGAGATGACGTCTTTAGATGTCTTGTTTTGTCTGACCAAAAGCCGAATAACAGCAGAAAACTGAAACTTAATGGTGAGCCACTTGCCAAATTGTATTGTATTGTTAAGATGCAAAATGATTCTAGGATTCCCAAGCATTCCCTCAACTGACTCCCTGTGCAAGTGTCACTCTAAATGTGTGCTTAAATTATGAAAAATAATTAATGATTAAGGGATTCTACATATTTAACAAGCATTTGTACTTCACAAAAGAAAAAACAGCATAAACTGTGTGCATAGAATTTAAACCTTTGGTGGACCAACTTTGCCCAGCCATGGTCTTAAACATTAACAAAGATGAGTCTGAATCAATCTACTGGTTACATTCATGAAAGTATACATACACACACTTCCACATATACAGTTGTTGTTTCTGCATATGTTAATGCATAGTGACACACATTGACACAAACACACAGTCTATACAGTTTATTCTGAATCTGTTTTGTCCATTTGTTTCTGTTGTTTATTATGAATTGAAAAGCCGACCACACGACATCGATGAAAATAATCCCTACATTTTTGCCTTTTTTAGGTTAGGGTTAGGGGGTTACACTGAATGTATACAGTCCAACTCATTATATCAGAGTGGGGACATGCTGTAGCTTTTAACAACAAAAAACATAAACATAAATGCACACATACAAGGCTGTCCACTCGGGCACCCTTTGGGAAAGCGCACTCAGCAGCGTGAACTATGTAACCCTTATCCCATCCCCTGTCTCTCAATTACTGCGGTTGGACACCAGGGAGCCTGAGCACCTCTGTGCATTATTATATTCAGTGTGTAAAACACAGGGACCCTGAAGGCTTTCAAAGGAACGCTGCTCTCAATAGGACCTGTAGGGTTAATGGGCTGTGTGTGCATGTGTGTGTGTGTTGGGGGAGTGGGCGTCTGGTGGCGTGACACACGGACAGACAAATATCAGCAGTGCAATTACACCCCTGATACATTCACCAGCAGCACCTGTGCCAGCCTTCCATCCTCCCTCCACTGCAAACCCAACCCTCTGATTGGCCCCTGGGGAACATGTGCATGTGTGTGAGGTGAAGTGTCAATTAGAGTAATAACCCCAGGCCCTGTCCAGCTCACACCTACCCTCCCCTCTTAGATCTCCCACAGGGCAGCAAGGCTTCCTCCATCAGCCAGCACCTGCTCCTTTCCTTGATACTCTCAGTCTTTACTTTCCCCTACAATTACTCGACTGGTAGTGCACTGGCTGCAATTAGTCTCTCTCCTGGTGTGCCACATTCGTCATAAGCTAACTATCTACGCATTGTGACCCCAGCTGATAGGGAATAACCGGATTACTCCCCTCGGTTACAAATCAGACATTCAGATTAAATTGCTTCAGCTATCTGGAATCGGCAAATTCGGCTTTCGCCTGATCTCAATCAGCGGGAGGGATATTTCATTGCCCTCCTATCTGTGCCCGCTATGCATTGTTGCGATTCATTTTGTGATAAGTGATGAAGCAACTTAATAGAAGTAAATGTAAGGGAGATTTATCAGACTGCTGTAAGTATTCACTTTCCACATACAAGTCTGCAAGCAAAGCATGCCACGTACTGAGAAACTTACATAAGGCACTAAGTTTTCTATTGTTTTGTCTATGCACTGAAAATCTTACAGTGCAGACCTCTAAATCAAAAAACTAATAATATCATTTGTTTATGCCTCCTCTGCAAACAAATAATAAAAAGCCCACAGTCAGCACAGCTCATTATCATGATTATAACCCTTAGCCTACTGGTAGTGAGGCAAATTCTGGAATAATAAGCAGGCTGTATGCAAATGGAGTCTTTTGATTTATAATGTATGGCACCCAAGGGGGATGGGGGCATTGCTCAGGTGTGTCACCACTCTGATTACTGATTCATAACACTATTGCTGGAGCGCGCGCACACACACACACACACACACACACAGACGCTACACACACAAAAACAACCACACAGTAGCAGAAGGTGGGGGAATTGAGGAGACAATCAAATACATCTGTCCTGCCTTCCCCTCCCCTCCACCTTCTTCTCCACCCCGGTGGAAATTGAGCACTTCAGTAAGGACTATTGATTGGGGACACAAGAGCTTGGTGGCAGGCAGCAGATGAGGCCAGACTGTCTAAGGGCTGCCTGCAGTGTTAAAGCTGGGACTACACTCTGTATGACCAGGGCTCTGGGGACGTGAGCTGAGGTAGGTGGTGAAAGAGTAGGATGTGTTAACCTTAGGGCAATAGGGTCACAAAGATAGAGGGCGAAGCTTGAAAAAGGCTTTGAACAAATCCAATGGGGATCCAAAGGTAGATTCACACCTGGTTGGGTCTGTGTTTCATCCTGGACAGATGGACCACCA